CTGCCTGAGGTTTGAACAAGAGTTTCTAATAAGCTCGAAAGGGGCATTTCTTTTCCCATCTGTTTAGCCACTCAGATTCACCTTCTTGTGTTTGCCAATTTCTGTTTATTACATTTTATTCCACCCAATAGCCCAAAGGCTCTCTGGGCAGTTGACAAGAACATAATACAAACACAATACAATAAAATAATAAGCCCAATAAAAGCACTAAAGCAACCAATAACAGCAAAGCTGATATTGCCATATCAAGTTACAAACACTGGCACAATAATACAATCCAGCAAGACCAGTGCCGCTATAAAGCACGAGAAAAATACAAGCACGGTAAGAATGTAAATACAATATTAAAACTAAAGTTTAACTATTAAAATATCTGGAGAATTAAAAGGCTTTCACCTGGCACCAGAAGGAGAAAAGGGGAGTCAGTAGGAGTACTCTTTGGAGAGCTGATTCTATAAATGGGATGCCACAGCCAAGAAGGCCCTTACTCTGTGTTGCCCTCCTTGCTTTCCTCAGAGGGCCTCAAGGATGATCTTAAGGCCTGGGTAGGTACGTACAGGAGGAGGTATTTCTTCAAACAGCCTGGTGCCAAGCCATTTAGGGGTTTCTATGTTAACACATGTACTTTGTATTGGGCTTGGACCTCAGGAGCCAGTGCAGCTGAAAGAAGACTGCAGTAATATGATCTTGAGGCCTGGTCACCAAGAACAATCTTGCCATCCTGTTTTGAATCATTTGAAGTTTATGGACTGCTTACAATTGCAGCTGCCCATAGAGTGCATCACAGTAGCCCAGACGAGAGGTTACTGGAGCATTGATTACTGTAGCTAGGATCTATTTTACCAGGTAAGGTCATTGTTGGTAGATCAGCCTACGTGCCACTGAGTCCACGTGTGTCTCTAGGGATAGTTCTGGATCCAAGAGCACCCCCAAGCAACAAACCTTGTTCTTTAGAGGGAGTTCAACCCCAGCCAGAACAGGCTGAATGGCTCCCAACTGGACAGACAACCCACCCACCAACAGCACCTCTGTCTTGTCTGGATTGAGTCTCAGTTTATTGACCCCCATCCACCTGTTACTGAGCTCAGGCACTGATTCAGAACACCTTCCGCCTCACCTGGGCTCGATGAAAAGGACAGGTGAGTGTCATCTGCTCTCTGCTAAAAGGAAAGCTCACTGCTTGCACAAAGTAATGGGATGTCTTAGCTGCTTATCACCTCCTGCAGGCAGAGAACTAGTTCCTAACTCAAGGGAACTCAAGAATCTCTCTATCCAGCTTTAGAAGAAAGGGTGTATTGGAGAGGCAGCAACCTACCAATCAGACAGAGGCATGCATGCACAATTGACCTGCCTCACAAGGCTGTTGTGGCATGGCGAGCTTTACAATCAAGTCCTGTGTTTGTAATGCAGAAAGCAGTTTGCGTTCTCATGGGAACCTATTAGACCTTTTTTTCCCCCCCATGTCCAGTTATTCTTCTACTGTTTGAGTTGGGAGAATAATTACTGTGGAAACTTCAAATGTGCAGACTTGGTAGAACACATGTCAGTGATAATCTCTGCACGTTTCTACTTTCCCCTGACTGAAAACCTGGAGTGGGACTGCCTTGCCTGTGGATTTAGTGCGGAAAGAGTTTTGGCTTGGTTTATGGCTGTGCACGGAGGTGCACCATTGTGCAGCTTCGGAGCTTCTCACCGTGCATATGCTGGGATGACTCCATAGTCGAGCACAGGTCTGTCTGGACAGCCTTTGCCGGTGAGCCTGTGCTGGCTTGCGCGGCAGAAGTGCCTCAGGCAGCATTGGGCAGAGGGTTTAGCTGCCATTATAATCTCCCCTCCATGTGGCGTGGTTACAGGGAATTGTGGGAAATTAAGCAGGTGGCCCTGCCTTGTTTTTGTTTTTCTTTTTAATGAAAGGCCAGGGTGTTCTGGTGGATCCTCTTGTGGCCCTGACAGCTGCCCAAGGTGGCAGTGCAAGTTGTAGTATGATGGCTTTGTGTATTCTGGAGCACAGAATTATTAAGATTGGTATTTTGATAGTAATTTGCTCCTTGGTCTGGGGAGGAGTGGAAACCATACTGAAATTCTCCAGACAGTTCTGTCGCAACCCTCTTTTTAAGACTGTGAAATAGCTGACGTTTTCACAGGCATTCCTAAGATGCAGCTGAATGTTTTAAATCATTAAATTGTTTTTCTGAGTCTGGGATGTAGAATTTTGGCTGCTCCTTTTCTCATTCAGATGAGTGTGCAGCCAAGGTTTGATACACTGTCCTAATATTCCCTAACACTGCCTTCCTATTACTAACATGCCTTCAGGGTTTGGCTGGAATGAAAACCTTGAAGAACTCTTCTCTTTAGGCTCAGAGAAATTATTTTTCGGGTTTCATAGCACTCTAATTCATCCCTGGCATTACATGCAGATGCCTCTGCCATCCTTCCTTCTGGGTGACCTTTTAAGAGTCTGTAATTAGAATTCAGGAAGCAAAACCTCTGGCACAGGCTCCAGATGTGACGTTAGGAAGTGAAAACAACGGCATCCAACCAAGGTGCTTGGCAACTGAACAAGAAATCAGATTTAGTACAGATGTGTTACCCACTCCTCTGCATTATGTGGCGGGCGCCTCTAGTCTGCTTTTATGGCAGTTTTTGAAAGTAGGAATTTTCTTATTCATCCAGAACCATGCTTTCCACATCTGGGGAGGGGGCTCTGAAAGCAGTCTCGAGCTCTGGAGCATGGTCCAGTCGTATTTGGAGCCTCTTTGTGCAGCAAGTTCTCAGGTCAGCACTTCCATGCCAAACCAAATTTCAGGAGCGCGTTCTGAGCAAGTGATGTCTTTAGTATGCGTGTGTGTGTAAATGTGAGTGCATGCCTTCCTACATCTGAAACTAAGGAAGTCAGGGCAGGTGGAAGCAGAATTCTCTGTTCTATCTTCCCCATAGAAGACCCTCCACTCTCCTGAAAGTGCTAGATAGAGGGCCCAAAGACCCTGTTGCATGGGGTGAGCCATGGTGTACAGGGAGAATGGGAGATCCATCCCCTCAAATTGGGCAGAGATGTATTCCATGAGTGCAGCCTTCAGTACTCAGAAGGAAGATCCTGGGTGCAACGCAACACAAACAAGAACATTTGTGCAGGTGCTGTTTTACCGCGCAAGCCTGTGGGGAAAGCTAAAGCAACTTTTCCAGGTTCAACAATCCCGCCCTTCTTTGTGTCTGAATCACTTGCTCCTTGTGTGGGCAGGTTATGGATTTGATTGGGATCCTGCTGAGCAAAAGGAGTTGTATTGGCGAGTTTTAACTGATCACGTTTCATTACACTTTCAGCGGGATGTTGTGTGAAAAGGAGTGTCATTATGCTGGGACCAAGTCCAGCTTTTCTTTTCACATCTCTGCTGACAGCTAGAGAGCAGTTTCATGGCCACCGTGACTGTGCAGTCTGGTGTGGAAATGAATCAGCAACATTCTCAGTCAATAATAATTTCCATAGTAAAAGATGACTGACAGGCGCGACTGTGATCAATATTCTATCAGCAGCGGGCTCTTGGTCTTCACGTTAGGCACTGCCAGGCACTACTTTTTGATTAAGTAGCAGTCATGTTGATTAAGCTTGGAGCAGGCAGGAGCAGGCTAGGGAGGTGTCTTGGGACTGGGACAGGCATCCTTGCTTTCTGTATGTATAGCTGCTCTGATGTGCCTCTACATTTTGCTTTCCCTTTGAAGGTTCATTTTATTTTAAAACATTTGTAGCTTGTTTCAGCAAAACCGAGGTCTGGCCAATGTGATAACTTTTGCAGTAGACATTTCAATTTAGAGGGAGGACCAGACTTGATGGAGTGGACCGAGTTTTGCTCGAGTTAGCTTAATGCAAAGAAAGAAACAGAATGAATGAAACAAACAAACAAAACAAAACAAACATCCAAATAAACCCTGGAGTGAACATAGAATGGATCTACCTAGAATTAAAACAAATTGTTCAGTCTGGTACCACAACAGCAGTTATATCTGTGTCAAGCAGCAGTGATGGTGGTATTTTAACATGTATTTTATATTTTAAATCATTTTAAAGTTTGTTTTAAAATCTGCATTGCTGCTGTTCATCAAAGTCACCATGGTATCTTTACAATTTAAAACTGAGAAGAACAAAGCCTTCTGAACTCCATGAAATCAATGGAGGCTTCCAATAGAGGGCAGAGTATCTCCACAGTGTATTTTGTGAGTGCTGGAAGCCAAGCCCCGTGTGTAGCCCAGGACAAACAGCATGGGCCTGGGACTCCCGCAATCTGGGTTCTAGTCCCTGCTTGGCCATGGGTGACTTTGAGTCTCTACCCAACCTCCCTCGCAGGGTTTTTTGGAGGGATAAGATTGAGAGTAGGAGGAGGACAATGATGTAAGCCACTTTGAGTTCATTGGAAAAGTGGGATAGAAATCTAAGAACTAAGTAACTAATCATCCAGTGGGAAACCCACCATGGCACATGGTTTTCACCCTAGCTGGGGCCTTGCCATTGCTATCTAAATTTTACAGCTCAGATAGGTCAAATATGTTTATACATTTTACATGTTGTCTTTTTGGGACCTCAACATATTTTCTTTTCAGCAAACATAAATTGCTGAATTGGATTTAGGATTGGCTAAAAGTCATGATTACCTTTATCAGAATGGTGATCATTCCCTATGTATAAGTGACAAAATTTCTATCAATATCTGCAAATGTGGCTTTTATGGGGCAAACCTGCATAAAACTGTCATGCACAGTAGAGTCTATTTTCAGAGCATTGTTTAATTCAGTCCTCAACTTCTCAGGAGAATTTGCTTTAAAGTACAGTTTGGCTGTTTTCTAGAACAGCTGCCGCAAATATTTTGCACTTATTCCCCCTTGCACTTTCTGTCATATGAACAAATGTCCTGAAATTGTCAAGGGATCTATAGAAGCAGCACACATTTCTGATGATGATGATGATGATGATGATGATGATGATGATGATGATGTTTTTGCTTTTACAGATATGGTATGCTGGTATGCTGTTTTCAGTACAGAAAGCTTAAATAAGGGTTTTGGCCTGGGATTCTACTCAGGATCTGCTTAGTGGTAAGCAGTTAATGATGTTTCACCCTTCAAACTCAGCTCCCGAGCCCTTTAGACAATCTGTGCAGGAAATATGGAAGAGGGTTGGGGTGAGGCAGGGACAAAGTATCAGTTTACCACACAGTGCCACTTTGTCATGGCCTCAGGACAATGCCAACAGGGTCCCTTTTGATAATGAAACCAGATGCCCGGAGCAAACATTCTTTGGAGACTTTCCTTGGGGAAATGGTCAAGTCCAATCCTGCAAGACAATGAATCCCATAGTTCTGTATGAGTTGATGTGCTAGTTGCTTAAGATCATAGTTATATTACAAGAAAAATAAATGTCAGGGAAGGGCTGGCCACATGAAAACAAAACAAAACTGTTGACTTTCTAAGGGCAGTTCCTATGTATGCGTGCATGTTTTTATGGACAGTTTGGTTAATGAGGATCAATGGGGGTCTTCATTCCTTGTGGTATTTTAAAGAACGCCTAACTATCCCTGGAGGTGCTTTCTACTGGAACAAGCACTTCTCTCTCTGAGAATCAATGCCAGACAGTTCATGGTCCATTTAATGGGTCATGTGTCATGCCACATCTTTGCAGCATCAAGCAGATAGCATTGAGAATGGCAATTTCATCAATCCCATGTCCTCAGAGCATGGAGGGACAGAAGCTCTACATGTGAGCGTGTTTGTCCTGGAAATCGCACAGGGCATTTTTCAGAGACAGACAACACACTATGCATAACGTGCAGGTCAGGGCTTGGCATTATTAGGCAGTTGTAGAGGGCTCACAAATCACTGGGGCTCAAGAGCCCTCCTCAGCCTGCTTCCCCACTTCACCACTGCAACTGGCTTGCTCACCCACCTTTTACTCTGGCCCAGAGGGTTGTGAGCAAATGAGCAAGTAAACAGGAATGGTGAGAAAAAGGAGCTGCTGGCTGCTGCCAGCTCACTTCTTCTCAGCATGGAGAAGGCCTTGTTGTATCTGCCTGCACCGGAGCAGTTAAAGAGGAAGAGCCTGTCATAGAGAGTGAGGTGGCAATCCTGACTAAGTCCTAACATGGTGGAATGCACAGTGGACATACTGTAAGTCCAGATGCTAAAGAGCAAGGCATCCAAAGCCATAGGCCTGGGTTGACGAATCCATCCATTTTGATTTCTTGCAAAAGAAAGAAAAAACCCTCAAGTTCTTTTTCACCTAGACATAGAGAATGTTGTGCTTTTTAGTAAATTTCTAGCAAATGAAGCTACATTCTCATCCATGCTTAGCTAGGAGCTGCCCCCTGGAAACATCCCGGGACTCTGAGTTCATCTTTGAAAACTTACAACCTGAGCAGGGGGCCCTTCTGTTGGAGACAGCCCATGCCCTGCCTGGATGGACAGAGTCGCTCCAATATCTGGGTCTCCTTCTCTGTCTCTGTCCAGGGACATGCTGCAAACAGTCACCCTGCTATCTCAGCCCTCGGGACAGCTGCACAGGGACCATGGCAGCTTCTGCCAATCAACAACTAAAGCAAACGAGCCAAAGCATCTGGTCACTAATATATCTGTTTAATGTCACTGGGATTCACTTAAAAGCGCAAAGGTATCTGTGGGCTGTTATCACTGCTGTCCTGGCTGCATGCCAGAGCTCTTGCCAATGTGGTCAAAGGCCATCCTTGGGGCAATCTGGCCTGGTGTCTATATACCCTGAACTGGCACCCATTTTTGGGAAGAGCCAACTTGGAAGAGGCCTCTGCTCCTCCCACTCAGCTGTTCTCCCATCTTAGAGTCACCCGCAACTTTCATATCAAATGAATGTTGGTTGGTTTAGGCTATAGTAGCTACTCCTTAGGATTAAATCACAGAAACAAACTGGCTGAAGTGAGCAAAATGTTTACCTTACTCTGGCATATGGAAACTGCAATAATGTCTTTCTTTTCAGGGCCAATAAGTGCTATTACTGAAATAGCTACATTTGCAAGACCAAAAGCAGCCTTTAATTTCACAATTCTCAGCCTATGTCAAATTATGAACCTCTTGATAGTATTTTGGTGGGCTATATTTAACTTCTATCTAAGGAAAGAAGAAGGAGAATGGGTAATTCATCTTTCAGTCAGAGAGCTTGATTCTCCCAGCTTTTGAAAAAACGCTAAAGAAGTGTTGTCATTTTGGAACAAGTCACATGATCAAGGATGCTTGCAAACCTCAAAGTGGAGCAACAGCATCATAAAAGAGACAGATTATCTGGTGGCATGCATATTTATGACATCTCCGGTCATAAGGCAGTGCCGGAAACACAGTAAATTTTGTTGATCCACGCAGCTAGGTTTGAAAGAGTTTGTAACTATGCCCTTGAATATGCAAACTTGACAACATATTAAAGCATTTATGTGAGTGAAATTAAAAACCCCATCTTTACATGTTGATCATCACTCATATTAGGATAACCAAAACCCTGTTACAGAAACTAACAGGGTCCCCATCAGATCTGGAGGCCAGAACGCCTTCCTTGTGAGTATTCTGCTGCTATACTGTAGCCCATCCTCACCCTCTGGAACACTGCGATGTTCCAAGAAGGACCAGGAGAATTCACTGGCCCACCTTCTCCCTCTGGAAAATAGCAGTGTGGAACATCCCACCCCACTCCACTCCACTCACAGCCCCTGCAAGAGATAGAGGTCATGAACTGGATTATCTGCCTGACTGTCTGATATGATTCACTATTTAAAAGGCCAGACAATTGTACTTGATTCTTCTGGGAGCCCCTTGTAGCTTGTGATTCTCCATGAACTCAGTTCTATTATCAAGTCACGATTCTCAAAACAGATACAGGAAAAATATGAGCCTAGGCAGTATGTTTATTTGAAGACGCATGCATTGCATAAAAACGCTCTACTCCTGTTTGCAGTTGTATCAGCCCCATGTCCAAATGTAAATAACACTGCTGTCATAGATGGTGGTGGCCATGTGTAAAGGAAATTGGTAGAATGCAGAGCTGAAAAAGTCATTCCGATTGTGAGCATTTCTGAGCATATCAGATAAACATCAGAATTTTGCGCAGCAAGGAACTGATTGCCATGCAATTCCACTGAGTGCTGATTCCACTGAAGTAGTTTCAGAACAACTATTTCAATCAGCACCACACCCTAAAGAGCCTTTTCTCCCTTATATTAAGACACATTGCAAACAGAGGTAATCTGAATATGCTGACAGTGTTCTTCATGGGAATGAGCTCCAGCTTTCTTGGATGGGGTAAACCAAAGAGAGCCTGTCATTTGGATCAAGATGGTCTATTCTGATCCAGCACAGCTACAAAAACACTGCACTGGATGTTTAAGGGTGATATTTAATGGGAATAACAGTAAGCCTCTGAACTCAGGGCATTCTGGGCAGCCAATGCAGGGTGGAGGAGCACGGAAGTGAAGTTTGGCTCTCCACTCCTCCTGCCCTGCAAATCAGCTAGAGGGCTGATTTCAACCATCTAGCCACATTGCTTCAGAGGGGGAGGAAAGGAGGCTGGAGCACCTCCGTGAGATGTTGTATCCTGGTGGCTCCGATTCATGCCTTTCCCTGTCCTCTGAAACCCTTCCCAGAGGTTACTGATATAAGCCCAGAGAAGCAGCTGGAGCAGCTCTTTCCATGCTGGCTGTGAGGCAGAGAGGGAGACCTGAGGATGGATTCCCCAGTCCAAAGTTGGAGCTCTTTTCTGCCCTTGGATCTGGGAATCCAGAGCATCCTGTGGCCCTGTAGACACTGTCCAGGGGCCCTGGGATTGCCCTTCCCATCTAGTTGTTGTGTGCTTATCCAATTGATTTCCCAGTTCTATGAACCCTAAATAAAATCTCTTGGGAAAGATTTGACACAGTGTGATGGTCAGGTGAGCAATGCACTGAAAGGTGCAAAAGCGGATTGTTCTGGCATTACTTGGATCCAGTCTGGATCCAGTCCTCTGATTTTATGAAGTGACACACTGTTAAGTATCCAGATGTCTCACACTGAAGAATTGCCAGAACTGTACTATGATTGTCCTGTGTGCTCTGCATGTACAAGTGATACAATGAATGGGGCAATCCCAAATTAGACATGGGATTACGTGTTCCCTTAAGTAATAGCTGCGTGGCCCTCCAGTCAGGGCTGTGGTGCCAAGGTCAGGGCAGTCAGCCACCCCCACACATTAGTCCTGAAAAAAATCCCCCCACCCACTCCCATATTGCTATTGGCGACATTAAGAACTGGAAGAGCAGGAGGCGGCAGGCTCAGTTTAATATATGAGGCCATCTTCAAAACGTCTGTGCAGAGGAAGTCTACAGAATCATTTCTGTTTATATTGGGAAAGCTCCCAGTCTCTCTTTTCTGTCTCTTCCCTGCCTCAGTCCTGTTTTGCTCTTGCTTTTACTGATATGTAGCTTCTTGTCTGATTTTTTCACCCATCTTGGCTGAGCAATAAGGCAAGTCATTTCTGGAGCCCTTTATATTAGTTGATATGGGTAGCCCACGTTTTAACACCTGACATAACCAGGACTTAATGGCATGGCTTTTTTGGAGGCAAGTACTACTTATAACAGCTTGAGACCTGTGTTGTTTTAAATCCCATTTAAAAGTGCTAGTTCTGGAAAGAATCCAGTAGAAGTTTTGAAAGCAGGAGATATTTTGGTATATTTTTCATAATCTGTATGTCTGGTTTGGATTAAACCATTTTCCACCACACAGAAACAAGCAGCTAGCTTTTATAATAGCAAATGAAACATTCTGAAGAGTAAAAAGTTACTTTCTTAAAACTTTTGGGTGTGGTGCCAGAACTCTCTTGGGTGAGATATAGGAAAGCATATCCCATTATTTATTTGAAGTAATTAATTATTAGAGTGTCTTTAGCCACATACCAATGTTTAACTTAAGCTTCCTTATCAGCTAATCTAGTCACCATGGCTGGAATCCAGCCACAGACATTTGCTAGCATGGCAGGACTATCTTTCCCTCCCTGCTACTCCAGTTTCCTAGCCCTCCTGAGCAAGGTTTGAGGGCGTGTAGAGCGGGGG